AAACAACCGAAACATTGTCCACTCACGACGGCGACTGACGGCGAACTGAGTGAGTGAGTAAACTACTCTGTGGCTGTAGCTCCACATTTACAGAAATAATTTACATACAAGGCTACCAAATCAACGAAAATTTCGCCATTTTGGAGCCGAAAAAAATTAATTATAGCTAACCAAAACAAAATTACACTGCCATTTACATTCAGTGGCTTCCCACATGATACATGAAGAGATTAAAAAATAGATTGAGTTAAACAATTGATATTTTCAAAAGTTATCGTGTTTACAAGCCTTGGGGACATGATAAAGCCACACCATAAGCCACTAAAACCTTTTTTTAATTTAAAAATAGCAATTAATCGATTTAAAAAAATATTAATAAGTTCAACAATCATTTATCTTTCTAACATATAAATGATATAAAAAGCACATTGCTTTTTATATCATTTATATGTAAAATATGATTGCTAAATACGATTTTATCCGATAAAACGTTGGAATCTTAATTTTTAGGCGATAGTAGAACATACCTTGTGCTTTCGCTTAAGGCATGCAATATTAGTACGTAGTACTATTATTTATTCTGTGCTTTTAAAATATTGTAGTAAAAATCTGTGATTGTTATAAAAATGAATATTTTGTATTTGTACAGCGATGTTTTTGAGCCGCTGGAAACAACCGATACAGTATCCACTCACGACGGCGTCTGAGGCCGAAGTGAGTGAGCGACGTAGTCTATTTAGTAAAATAAATTATTATAAGGCTGCTCAAAACACCGATAATTTCGGCATTTCTACGCCGGAAAAAATTAATTATAACTAAACAAAAGAAAATTAAACTGCCATTTACATTCCATGGCTTCCCACATGATAGATGAAGATATTAAAAAATAGATTGAGTTACACAATTTATATTTTCAAAAGTTATTGTGTTTAGCACTCCATGCGGACTTGATAAATCTAACCATAAACCACTAAAACCACTTTTTTATCTAAAAATATCAATTAATTAATTAGTAAGTTCAACAATCATTTATATATCTGACAATGTGCTTTTTATATAATTTATATGTTCAACATGATTGTCAGATACGATTTTATGCGACAAAACATTGGAAATCTTGATTTTAGGCGCTAGTAGAAGTGCAAACTTAATTTAATTTTGTTATGATACCTTTCATTCAATGAAATTTATATTCCCAAAGAAATTTCCTACAAAGTTTGATCTAGCAATGTATTCAGAAATAGAAAGCAAACACATTATTACACCGCCACCGCCTGCATGGTTTTTGTTCGTAAATATCATTGAAATAAATCCCATATTTTTGAGGTTATTCGTATTTAACGTCCATTCATTTATTTTGATTCTTGCTTAACCTTTGAGAGTTGTTTTGGTTATGCCAACTATTATTAACTTTTAAAGAAAAGCGGCATTTGGTATTTGAACTTATAAACATTCTTGTATAATCTTATCTTTTACTTTGTTATAACTGAAAAGTTTATATATTTTTTGCAGTATAGTTATTAAGTATTCTGTTTTTCATTTACAAGCTATTCCTCTACAAGAATTTTAATGTAAATTAAATACCGTTTGATTTTCAAGGTTAAAATATTTTTACTTTATTCTTGCGTATTCGATAATGGCGCATTTAATTAAGACTTTTTCATCGTTAATTATTTTGTTTTAAAGGAGATTCAAAATACAGAAGCATTTGGTAATGGAAAGATTTTTAAAATTATTATGTTAAAGATAGGATTTTTTTTAAAGTTTACTGTGTTGAAGCATAAGTGTCTTAATGCTAGATTTACTACCTATGAGTGGATTTCCGACCTATAACGAATGTCTTTTCAATCATACGGATTGATCGTCATTGAACATTAAAAGTACCAAAAATATAAGTGACGACAGCTTATTCATGGAATAGCTACTCCCGCATCGTAGGTCTTCTCTCAAATTGATAGTTTATTTGTATTCCCATTATGTATATACTCGTATATATCTAACATTCTTAGGTAAGTAAATCGCTAAAGTATAAGTAGTGAACAAAACAGCACTTTGACCAGTTTCACTCGGTGAGACTATGACGTAAGTCGGGACCCTAAACTTGTGTAAATATTTGCTTGACGTGCAAGAGCTCGTGCGGCCAGGTGTTTACTATCAAATGTCCTTTATTATTTCTGAAACAAACATTTCCCCATGGTAGCTAATAATAAAGGATGGAATATCACCATGATCGTTGACAGTTTGTGACCATATTCGCCACTGCCCCCGCTAATAAAAACAAATTTGATCGACAACAAATTCTCGTAAAATACCGATTTTAGCTAAGGATGATTCTATTGAAGTCTAATGAAACTAAAAACATACTAATTTTAATACTAGAGATGGCTTCGGTTTGAAATCGAGTGAATAATACAATTTAATCCAAAGTCAAGCATACTACTACAAATAGTTGCCCCATTCCGATGGGGCAACTATTTGTTGCTTGGCGTTTTACCACTGTTTTCCAGAAGTTCTCTTTTCCCACGACAATTTTGTTAAATCAGCTACCCCAAGCGATTTTTACGGATTGAGGTTGATTTAGGTACATTCAAGAAAATAACCTACTCTTTTTAAAAGGGCCGGCAACGCACCTGGAATTGTTCTGTACAGTGTGGAATTGTTGTCACTTACCAATACTTACCATCAGGGGAGGCGCATGCTCGTTTGCCCCCTTCTATAAAATAAATCTATACCAAATTTCATAGAAATCGTGATTAGACAGATAGACGGAAGGACAAAAATTCTAGAAAAAAAAAAAACATCCTAATTTCAATAGAGAAGATGGATGGGTGCTGTCATCTGCTTGGGATCCCATAATTAATAAAATTAAATCCAAACTCAAGTATACCACTGCTAGACTTCAAGATACTGTAAGCTCATTCTGCGTAAATCGAACCAAAAATTAATATTAAAAAACTGAAGGTAGCCGGGCTAACTATGACATCAGGACGTCAAACACCTCAGTCCCTCCCGTGACCACGTGAAACGTCGGGAATTAAAACAGTAAATTAAACGCGATAAAATCCGTAAAAAATAGTTTTATTCAATATTCCTACGACTTTACACCTGTCGTTGAAGAAGTTCAAACCCAAAGTCTGTTCCGAGAGCTGATTCTCAGATAGAAGAGCAAGGGTATTCGTGTCAAAAAATTAACTCAAATTCTTGGAATAAGATAAAATATAAAGATGTACAGAAACGCCTTCATGCCGCAAAAAAGTTAAAATTAAACGCGATATAATCCGTAAAAGATTAGTTTCATTTAAATATAAGAATTACAAATTTACAAACAACTTCTATATATTTATTATTAGAGATTATTTTTGGAGCTTTATTGAACTTTCTTATTTCTCACAAATAAAACCTAATATCTTCCACCGCATCAACTTTTATGGTATTTTTTCGAGCAGTAAGTATTATCAAGTTTCATTTTTATACCACAATATGGAACAATATTGATAGGTACTCATAAAATAGAACGTATTACGTCTTTGGTAACAAATTTTCCGGGCATCAAAATCTATTTACATCAACATTCATTTATTACAGCCCGTTTTGCCTTTGCCACAGTTGGCACACTTGGCTGGCGGGTTGGCAACCGCAGTTTTTTTGTTATTTTAAGCTACCACCAAGAAGAAGTTGCGGCCCATCTCCTGTTTCAGTTTCCCTGTGTTGGCTCCTACGACACCAGCGTGATGCTTTGGGGCAGTGGATTCTCTTACACCGCCACTACACTACGAATAATACACTAATAATACACTATGAATGATTAGTTCTATTGACAAGATTGACTCTTTTTCTGCCGAGTCCGTATGAAAGGCAATACCTATTTATATATAGTTCTTCCATTATTGTGTTCAGGTTTGAAAGGAATGAGTGTCGCTATCAGTACCATTTTAAGGCATGAAAAATCGAAATTGGTTATGGGGTAAGCGGCTGAAGCTAATGGTCAAGGGTGAGAATCAGAGTCGTGAAAACAATCATTTGAAGCTTACTCGGAGAAGTTAACGTTAAAAGGGAGGAATTTTTTTTATGGAATAAGGTGATAAATAAGCACTCAGTTGACCTGATAGTAAGTATAGTAAGTAGATGCTGGGGCTCCGAATAAGAATGAGATTGCAGATACGTTCTTACCCCCGAGTACTAAGATGAAATGCCTCGTGGGGTCTTGGGTTCTCTACACTCACCATACGTAACAAAGCAGCATTAACCTGCTATTTTACGCTAATATTTTGTGAGAGCCTGGTCTTCTCCGCTCGAGCCAAACCATTTGACCTACAAATGTATAGCTGCACCACTCTATTCGGCACTACAGCATGGCTCTACCATGTATAAATTCAGTGAAAAAGGTAAAGATTGGGTTCTAAATTTTGCTTAAAATAATTTTTGAAATTGCATTTTTAATCATCGCCTTTTATCGAATGGCTAGTATTTCCAATATTTAATTTTAGACATTACAGATGATTGAATATATCATTTAACTTTGAGAAACAGGCCAGGATCAAGAAGTACTTCATTTTAGATACTCTATGATTTATGAGTTCTAACTCGGTCTTAGTGCGAAAGAAGTTAATGAAAATTTGTTTAGTCTTTGGACCATCTAAAGTGCGTATGATCCAAGAAGGTCCAATGGTCATGAAGATTTAAGTCAAACTTCGTATCCAAAGAGCAAAGGAGCTTGATGACGACGTTCTGAGGAGTTTATTATTTATTTAATGAAAATTAACCACTACTGACTACGAGGGAGATCGAAAATAAGTTTAAGCGTGTACCATTGGAAACCACTTCCACAAGCTTGATTTTATCTTGGACTCTATATAACCGAAAAGGCGTTCCTTCCACCATAACAGTCGCAATTTTACTACCGGTTAGTGCAGTCGCTTCATAATGATGTGACGGCTCTAATGCCGAACCTACAGTATTTTTGTAGCATAAGCATACCTACTGCGCAAAAATAATTCGAAATGGCGTGTCAACCTAAACGCTCCGAAACCGTCGTAATCCACGAGTTTCTGGCCTTTGTTCAACAAAAATTGGACGTCATGGACCAGGTGTCTCTGGAGCAGACACTGATGACAAGTTTCACCGAGGACGAGATCATCCAAGCGACGAAGGTGTTAGCAGATTCAGCCGTGACCCAAATCCGTCTTATCACACGTCACAGGGATGGACGCGGTAAGAAAGACCTGCATGACAACTTCAGGCTGTTCAATGAGACCGACCCTGATGACATCCCAACTTTCGTCGCGCGTGATCTCAACAAGCTGCCTCCCGTGACGTTCGATCACGTAGACGTCACCAGATTGTTGAAAGAAATCACCACGTTGAGAGCCGATGTTACCGACATCCGTTCCAAATTTGAGGAATCGGAACGAGCCGCAACAGAGCCTGAGGAACGAAGTCAATATGTTGCGCAACATAATTGCAACATTTGCGAATTCACCGCCGTCGCAGAATGTAAATACGACACGCGGTAACCGTAATAGTAGTCATATTTCACCGATGATTGCGACTCCATCACGCGATACCGTCTGTCAGCGGTTTGATGACCGAGAAACTAGGGCGACCTCGGTCGTCATTGCATCACCACCTCAACCCTTGACTGAACCCATTGGTACTCCTCCGCCGAAGCCAACCTCAAAACAAGGGAAGACGTTTGTGGATGTTGCCCGAAAATCTTTACAACCGGCACCCTCTTGTGGTCAAAAGCGGAAGAATCTGGAAATAAAATCAGTTCCAATGCTGACCCAAGACAAGATTGATAAGGACGGGTTTACTCTTGTTGAGAAGAGACGTCGGTCGCGACCCGTCTGTAACCAGCGTGGGACCGCGAAAATAAACGCGAGTACAACTCTGCATGCTGTGGAGCCAACCATACACCTCTACATCTCCCATTTGGACTAAAGTACGTCGGGAGAAGACGTCCTGCGTTTCGTGGAAGAACGAAGCCGATGCCGCATTGAGGATCCGATCTCTTTACATTAGCAGCGTCTGGAGTCTTATAGGTCAACGAACTTCAAATCCTACTTACTCCAGGTTCCTGCAAAACATAAAGAGACATTCCTCGCTCCCGATTTCTGGCCCTCTGGGGTAGTGTTTCGCCGATACAGGGACGCGCCAAAGAAAAAAGTTCCCTAAATAGTGTTATGTCTATATTTTATATATATTTTTAGGTTAAGGTATATATTGCTATGGGCCAATGTTCTTAATTTTTAAGTCCTTGATGCATGAAATAAAGTTATTGTATCGTATAACAATAGCAGGCCTTACGTAGCTTTAAGAAACTACGAGAAACTCCAGATTCTTGCTTATACAGTTTTATCACATCCACTATAGAATCAATCAGGTCACCTGATTCTGAGGAAATTTTCATAGTTGCCGCATGGTCGTCATGATATGCGATCAAATATGTTTAATACTAAAAAACTTTTCAATAACATTAGCTAACAAATAGCTATAGTAAATGATTTGTGACATTTCTCGCGAAGACCTATATTCAGCAGTGGCAGTATATAATGGGCTGTAATCCTAATGCTGACGATGATTAGGTATGTGCTATAATAAAATTCGTAGAAAACAATAAAGAAACAAATAAGCAAATGAGACTGTATGACGTTCTTTTCATCATCGTTTCACAGCTAATGCGAAACGTTTTTCGAGTGGAAAGATAACGTTATAATTAATATGAAAATTGGATGAAGCTCAAGGCCGATTGTTAAAAAGTCACAAAATATCATCCACGTGACTGCTTCATTGTACACGTACTTATGTATATAAACCATTACAAATTAATGGTTCGTACGTTATAGGCTCAGAGTTATTTCTATTTCCCATTAAATCCGTTTGTTTTCACAATTGCGGCGATTATTCGTTGTGTTCTCGTCAATGGTTTATGTTTAGTGATTACAGTTTTTTTTTTGTGGTTGCTTGAGTATAGTTTTGTATATAATGTAACAATTTGTTATATTACAACACATTAACATTCAAACTGATAATGATTTCTTATATAATTTACGCGAGCACTATACATTGATTAAAACTAATTTTACGGATTTTATTGCGTTTAACTTACCTTATTTTAATTCCCAGCGTTTCGGATTCGGACCAATAGTAATAATTAAAAGCTGAAGGTACTCCAGGTTAACTTTGACATAGGGACGTCAATCACCTCAGTCCCCTCCGTGACCACGGATGATGCAAAGCACCCGAAACGTCGGGAATTAAAATTAAACCGATTTAAATATGTTTTTTTAATGTATGCTTTCAGATTTCTCGGAAATGGCTTAATCGATTTTAATGATTAATTTTGATTACTTCAGGGGTGGTTCCTTATAAATTTGAAGAAAAAATTCCATTCTTATGGGTAACAATATAGGAGATGAAGATTTTAATGTAACAATTGAGACGACATTCCTTAAACCACTCAGAAGCTTCTGAAGTCGCTTTCGTCGTGTAGACGCTTTCAGTCTTGACGGCTCCGTGGCGCAGTGGCTTAGCAATCAGTTGTTGCGCTGGGGGCCGCGGGTTCGGATCCCACACGGAACAAGTATTTGTATGGCCTACAAATAATTATTCCGGGTCTGGATGTTTGTCCTTGTGCAATTTATATTTGTAAACTGCCTCCACGACACAGGAGAAAATCCTAGTGTGGGGGTAACGTTTTTTTTTAAAAAAAAAAAAACAAAATAAAGTCTGACTCAGCACCGGTTTGAGAAGCTATTATGAAAAATGTATTTTATTCTAGTATTTAAAATCGATTTTTACTTTTTATTAAGTATAAAGTTTAATTTATATGCAGTTTATACAAGATATCGTGTATTTTATTAAATGAATACTAAATAACTTAAGATCTTGGCTTAATAAAGTTAAGCTAAGATCTAAAGTTATTTAACTCTTAGCTTAACTTTATCTTTTGACCGTGCGGCGGCGGTGTAACAATATTATTTTATAACTTTAGAAACAAAATGAACTTTACTGAAGCGCTTTACATGCTTTATAGTTAGACCTGTATTAATGTATATATCTATTTGTGTTAGAATGTAATGGAATTTCAAGACACAGTTTCAGATATCTGAATAATTAATAGTTGTACAGAGTACATACCTACTAAGAACAGAACACAATACAATAATTTCACACTGTGACTAGAAAATGTGGTAGAGCTACGCTGCAGCCTTATTGTGATTATAGCATACCAATTCACGTGGCTTGACCAGGGAGGGGCTACGCTCTCACAGAATACAGCTACTGTAATAATGCTTTTGTATCTGTGGTGAGTATAGAGAAAGAGAAACTCTTTTTACTGATAACGAAGCATCCATCGACTTCCTGCATATCTTACCAGGTCGTCACTCCATCTAGTGGGGGGACGCCCAACACTTCGCCTGCCGGTACGAGGCTGCCACTCGAGAAACTTTCTTCCCCATCGGTTGTCGGTTCTTCGAGCTATATGGCCGACCCATTGCCACTTCAGCTTACTAATCCGTTGGGCTATGTCGGTCACTCTGGTTCTACTGCGGATATCCTCATTTCTGAGTTTATCACGCAGAGAAACTCCGAGCATAGCCCTCTCCATAGCTCGCTGAGCGACCTTGAGCTTCCTCATCTGGTGGATGCGGGTGGCTCAGGACCGTGCATTGTGGCATTCCTTGGGGGAGGCCTATGTTCAGCAGTGGACTTGTGAAGGGCTGTAGTGATGATGATGATGAATGATAACGAGGCATTCTATGAGTATCATAGTTCTTAATGGTGACAACTATCTATATTTCGATTCTTTATCGAGGGTAGATGTAGATGTTTATAGACCACAATATCCAACTACTATCAGCTGATGCTACCTCGTTAGTGATCCTTAGTGTACAAAAAAGTAGGTAGTATTTTTCTAACTGGGATCATCACACCGCAATCGAAGTGCGTTGCGTAAGTTTTTCGACTTTAATATTATTATATAGCATTTACTCAAAAATATACCTAACTGCATTTAATTTCAGATAAAACACTACAATCAAAATTTATATCTAGTCTGTAAAAACTTTCAATAATTCCTTACTCACATTGTGCCAAACTAAAACTCAATCTGGTGTCTGTAAAATGTTAAAATATACTAGACAATCATTTTATTGTAAATTTGTGGAATTTTACATGATGACTTAAATGTTTTAACATAATACTTTATCACACAAATATTCTATTTTAGGCGTTAAATAAACGAATACTACTCGTTTAGATCGTTGATAAATTAGTTTTCGTTTGTTTAGTATACCGAATTCCCGAGCTACGGACGCTGGGCAGCACAAGGAAAATATCGGATATTAAAGTTTTATTTTCGTACAAATTCTTAGCGTGATAGAAGGTGCGCGTTCTTTTTAATAGGTTTTTAACTCGATGCGAACCGTGTACCGGATGTTTGCTTTTTAAATGAAATATTGTTCCGCAGGCGAGTACTGGTATGATAAATAATGTTAACGTGTTTATGAATGAAGTGTTAAGGTATATAAAAATATTTACGAGTATATTCTATAATAAGGGAAACGTTTAATTTTTTGCTACAAAACGTATTTTATTGAATCGATTTTAAAGTATGGTTAAAACAATAAGCATTATTGATTTTTAAGACAAATTTCATTTAGAATTTGTTAGCTTAATTATAGAATTTGTTATCGACTACTTGACTACAGCTCCAACTATCGGATCATAGCTCCTCCTATCCTAGCTATAAACCATCGTCTCAACCAAACGAATATATTATTGTGTCAATATGATCTTAGTCGATCAAGTCGTTCAGAAGCTACACGATCACTAACAGACTCGCCCACTATTATACATTCAAAGACCTATATTACCTATGTATTCTAATGGCCTTTTTACAAAAAGCAGTTTATTATTCGTGTCGGGCTTAAATTAGAACCCTAGAGAAAGAGGTTCGCAGAAATACGCGAACTAAAATATAAAGAATGGAATTTGACAGCAAATGTCAAATTTCGCGAATTTGGCGCCGCGCCTGAGTCTCTTTAGTTAGAAGGACTCTTCTTAAACCATAGCTCAAAATCCGTGACTATTAATAAGTTAGGTTTTGTAATAAGACGGATTATATTGTTTTTTTTTACTAAAGGAATTCCTATGCTGTTAACATGTGTCTCCATGTCTTCCATGTCTCTTTTCAGAGTGAGACTATTCAGTTATGTGTTGAAGGAGCCCATATTGTTTTCTTACTTAAGAGAGTTTTGATTGCTTTCGTTAATGCACAGAAAATTTGTTCTTCATTTTAATTTTTTGAGCCTTATCAACCGTATACAAATAGTCATGTGTAATCTAAGGTATATTATTCTAGAATTAAATTCAGCTTATGTTTTTAAACCAGACTTTATTGCGTGAGCCTTGATTCATGAACTACTAGGTACTATGAGTATGTTTATTAAGTTCACAGATAGACTCTGATGATATTTGTGATGTTCTAAACGAAAACATACATTTTTATTCCTCCATTTCAATATTTTTAATTTTATGAAGTCAATGGATATCCGAATAAATAAAAATTTTAATATTTGTGGCATTCATGCAGCATGATATTATTAAAAATACCAAAAATTGTTATTTACTTCTCGTTTGTGCGTTATCACAAAAATAAATAAATAAATCATCACAAATCTCGGAGAAGAACGTTCGAAAAACTATACAAGATTTTAGCTTATCAAAAATATAAAAGTAAAAAATAAAAAATTTTTTTTATTGCGCAAAAATGGAACAGAAAAGAGAAATGCAATTAAACTATGGTTAGCGTTTTAAGATTTAAAACACCAGCCTAAAATTTAATTTATTTGTTTTTTAATGTAATTGTAAGTGGTTGCTGTGGCCCATAGACATCTACATCTATCCTCATTTGCGAATCAAAATGTAGATTCGTTGTCACTCGTGAGGACTAAGATGGAATGCCTCTTATCCAGTAAAATAGGTCTCCAGTTCTCTACACTCACCATACGAAACACAGCAGTGTTAAGCTGCTATTTTACGATGTTACATGGTTAATTACAATTTTGAATACCGATTTACCATGTGCAGTTTCCTCATGAACCTGCATGTCTAAGGAATATAAAGTTTCGAAGACATGTAAAGTACGGCAATAAGCCGTGGAACAGCGTGACTTCTTTCCTCATGTGGCGCAGTTCACTGAAAATTCCAAAATTCTCTTAATCAGTATTGAAAATAATAGTTAAAGCTAATTTTCTGTACTCTGTTCCATTCTTTGATGTTTAAGCTATTTCATGCATATCTTTTCGAAAATCCTTCTCTTCTTTATTGTTTAACTGAGATCAAAATAGGAGGAGATTCTGTATTCTTCATATGTTTACCGATTTTTCATTTATTAAATAGGTTATAACTTCAGGAATAACGTAAGGGAAAAAAAATAGTAATAAATATACTTCATGCTACATTCTAGTGATACCTTGCACTTGTGATATTCCTTAATCCATTCAAAATGAAAAAAATAAAAAAAAAAATTGAATTAAAAAATCGACTTGAAACACAATAAAATAATTTCCACATAATACATATCTTCGATATCCTACATCTTAAAAGTCCTGTTTCCTTGGTTTAGTGGTCGTAAACACGAGTGCTGATCACGAGGTCCCGGGTTTGAGGTCGGGCCAAAATCAGTTATTGAGTTTCTTTGTCCAGAAATTATCTGTAACAGCTTGAGCTGTCAAGAAGATGGCGATGTTTAACCTCGGAAAGCACGTAAAGCCCTTGGTTCTGCACCTGAGCTCTCTCCGGTTGTGTCGGATTACCTTCACATCAAACTATGAGAGTGAGGGAAGAGAGAGTGCACTTGTGCTTGCGCGTATAATCGGGTACCACAATCCTGTCCTGTGCAGATGGCTAGTCTCCATTGGGACTGGACGCAGTGAACGAAATTCGGTCTAGAGGCCACTAAATATTATTATTATATCTTAGGCTGCCTTTTCGGTGGACAGGGAGGTGGTAGCGGGACCGCGGAAGCGATACACACTTTCAGTATTTCTTGTTTGAACTGTTTTGAGTGGGCAACGGAAAACAAGGCGGAGAAGTGTGTATCATGAGCGGATCGCAAAATCGCCAACTTGAATGCGTTTATCGCTCAAAACGACCGGATATTTTGTTTATTTTCATCTTTTACTTCAAGGAGATGTCTTTTTCTACTGAATATTTAATTTCTGGCGTTTTAGAAATGCCTGCATTGTGGAAAGCAAACGATCTCGTCTATAGTAACAAATATGTGATCAAGAGACTTGGTTGAAATAAAAAAATAAAGTGAAATAGATAATGGTAAGTAATTATTTATGTTCTACCTTCCTTAATATTATTACAAAACTACGTCATTCATTCGGTTCATTCCATTTTTTCCCACCAAATGTCCCACTGCTGGGACAAAGTGGACTCTTTAAAATGTGTTCGTCTACTTTTACCCACTAATCGTTTCTTGATGGGACAATTTACACTGTTATAATAAACCTCGTCCACTTTTAAGCAAATTCTAAGATCTTGAAATGTTTTTCAAGCAAAAAAAAAAAAAACAAATAATCAAAATTAAATAATTGTAATCAATATAATTCATATGCAGCATGCAGACAGTAATATTCGATTTTGCCGTTGTGGACGAAGAAAAAATTGATTTCCATTAGCAAGTAATAATTCTGATTCGTGTGTATTGCTAATGTCGTGTTCTTTGTCTATTATCATATTATGAAGTGAAGTCCTTCAATCGACTTACCATTTCACTAAAACAATGTTCGATGCTTACCTTACCTATAATTAATGAATTTCAGTAAGTTGATTATGTTGGTTTTGGTGAATGTAAGTACTTATAGATATGCACTCATACAATTTTATATGTACCTTTTGTCATATATATATAAATACAAAATATATTTGTTTATTTGCAGAATTCGTGTATTTTATCAAAAGTAGATACGATTCCCGGGATAAATTATCTACACACATAAAATTATGTTTATTCGGAATCCTAAGGGCGCGAGTCCTGCTCGCTCTTGTTTGTCATTTAAAATACAGAAGTATTGTTTGCTAACAAAAGAAATACAATAGATCCTTCGGCAAGTGAAGTTTGTTTACGTTAAAAATGAATAAAAATTTTACTTTAATTTATTAGAGTGCAACACTGTCTGTAATTAATATCTATATTATATAGTCTATATTTTCGTCTTGTCTTTGGTTACAAAACTGAGTGTTCTGGCTGTGTAAAGTGTAAGAGCGTTGCTCTCTAATAAAGTAATTATTTTAATTGATTAAAAAATTTACAACAATATGATATTAATCTGTCTTAATAATTAAACGAGCATGTTGAACAGTTGTTTCAATAGTTTTATTTAAAGTCCTCCATTTTGCGCATAAAATCCCAAATGCACATTCATATATTTTCTAAAACATTTTCTTGCCTTAGGCAATCTTTTATTAAAATATCCTCGATTAGCATTCAATACTCGTCGTGGGTATGGCCGCATTAAATATTCCTTCAGCGGGTAAGCTTCGTCACCAATAAGTACCATTGGTAATTGTGTAGCAAAATTCGGCAAGGTAGTGGCGGCATATTAAATCGATTGGGTGTTAATAATCTATTTAATTTAGAATGATGAAATGTGCCTCCATCACTCTGTTTAATACGTCCACTAACTTCAATAACCAATTATTAGCGTCGGCAAATGCTTGAAGCAACCGATAATAACTTTTTAAAGTTGAAATGTTCTGATCCTCATTTAGTAGGATTTTTAATACGATAATGTTTCCTGTCTATGACACTGACACAATTTGTAAACTACCACTGATGATAAAATTGTTCTGCTACACTCTTCCATATTGAGTCGAGGCATAATTATGTAAATTTATTAACTTTTACCAAATCACTTGATATGTTTCATATACTATTTGAGAAATGGTGCAGGGGGCCATCCGGAAGGAATGGTCTACAAATCTGTAAGCCAAACCAGTGGAGAGTATCTGTAACAAATAACGTGTTATATTATATATTTATTTTTTCTTTTTAGTTGACTCACTTAAGGAAAAGTGGAAAAACGTGAAGGATCACTATCAAAAAGAACTCAGGAAGATACCTCAACCACGTTCAGGAGATCCTGGTACTGAGTTTAAATCGACATGGTAACATTTTCAAATGATGTTCTTCATACGCAACCAAGTACTACCCACTCCAAGCGAGTCAAATATTGGTATAATTGGACTATCAAGCGATGATGATGACGACAAAACTAAAGACAGTTTTCGCTCAACACCTCAAGTTCTGTCTTCAGAAACTGTTAAATTCCTACTCCTTTTGGTGTTGAATCTCCTACTCCTTCTGGATCATCGTCTTCGGTCAGTCGAAAGAGAAAAACTGCTCACGACCTTTGTGTAGAATTTTTAATTATAGAAAGAAGGAAACAGATGATGTATGTAAAAGAACAAAGAGAACAGCTTGAAAGTGCTTTGCAATGACACCAATTAGTATTTGTTTGCTAACTGATTAATATTATCCACTTAAATAAATACAAATCTTATCTAAATAGTTCTTTTAAATACTAACCTTAAGGTGATCAAAAGCTTTTCTCCGGTTAAATGAAATCCTTCTTAAAGTAAGTTTTTATTTTGGTCACGTCATTCTTAATAATCTCCAAAATATAATCACACTCATCCGAGAGTACTCGTAATATTTTGACGGACACTCTTAAATCTTCATAAATATTATTAAATTCTCCGTAAGACCTAAAAATCTACGAGTCTTCGAAAAATTCGAGTATTTCACTCATCGAAAACATAATAATGCCAATAGGGTATTCGTATCTAATATTTTTGAGAATGCATTTTTTTACAATAATAACTGCCGCCTGTATTCAATATCGACATGTATGGCGACTAGCGAGCTATTCCGTCCGTGCTCCCGCCTTTCGCCCAAAAAAAGGCTAGCGAAAAAAATACGCAGCGGCACTCTAGCTGTTGCTATATTGCTGTTGTTTTGTCAAATAATAATAATAATTGTTTTATTGTTTCTCAATACATTGTCATGCATTACATAAATTGAGGTAGCTCCAGTAAGTTATAAAATACTTGTGTTGGAACTACCTCGCTGATTAAAGTTGGCAAAAAATTACTTTGCGTACATCCGCTCGACAAAATAAAATGATGTGTCTTACCTAGTTTGAAGAGCACCTCCCGCCCTCCCTCAATTGCGAACTATCCCCGTCACCACTAATCCCAGCACCACTACTCCCAACACCACTACACTAGGAAAGACACACCACTGACGACAATACGACACGTGTTTCGCCTCTACACGAGGCATCCTCAGGTGATATAGACTCTACGGTGGCTAACCGCTAAGATTTCGTATCGCGCGCGCGCGCGCGCGTGTGTGTGTGTGTGTGTGTGTGTGTGTGTGTGTGTGTGTGTGTGTGTGTGTGTGTGCACACGTACTTAGCTGGTACTGATTAAGATAAGCTCAGTTTCCTCATATGTAAGTGCTTTTAGCCACTCTATTAAGGCTTGTTTACATGTATGGAGCAACATAGGGTATATATGTAGTTTAAAATTCAATTGGTAAAAACAGTATGTAGTAACCCTAGGGGAGTATGCCACAATATATTTGCGTCTTCTATCCAGGTTAGCTGGACTATATGAGAGTGTCTTATGCAGGTGCAAGGTAATGTTTAAGAGGTATAGTTTTCTGACCGTAAGTAAATCACTTAACCTGTAAAGTTCTACTATAGAGTATCTGTGGGATTTTAAATACATTACTTTTAGGAGCGACCTCTGGGCTCTTTCTAAACCTAAAAATTTTGTTTTGTCAAAATATCCACATTTTATTTTTTAATAGCAACAGACCACAATCAACAACAACAGCATCGTCTTTTCAACAGGTGGACCGTGTGCTCGTCAGTCACCCTTACTTGTATTATAAAATTGCATTCTAAAATGAACGGGAGGCTAAAAATTAACAAATTTATACAATAATGTAAATATACTTACTTTTTAAGGCGCCTATTTATGCTTGTTTTGGCAGTAGCGTTTGCTAATTTTATGAAATAATATTTTTTAATTATCAACGTTACATTAGTTATAAGATCTAAAAGTTACGATTTAGAACTGTAACATTAATGTTGTTTGGAATTGCTTTGGATAAATAACAATCGAGATCAAAAGTTTATTGTCGGCAGTAAATTAGTGTACAAACATTAACGACTCAAAAGTCAAGGTTATCTGGAATCGAAAAAGCTTGAACTCTAAAAATACCATTTTATTTATTTGATGTTACATCATACCAAGTCGTGTGTTGATGGAATATACCACCCCATTTCATCATGGAGGCAGAAGTGTCGTAAGAAGTATCAATGGGAAATTTCACTTAGATTTTATAGCTTGCTTGTTACGTCAACCATAAAATATTCAGACTTAGACCAGCGACAGGTAGCAGTGTCAAAGGTGCGAAACGGCTGGTGCTATAAACGCCAATCGGCCTGCCATTCGTTTTGATAAGGATAAAATCCTTACGGCAATACATATTAAATACATAATATTATGTGTTATGTTTAGCACATTTTAAAAAGTACTATCAATAATTAAAATTCAAAATGGAGTCCGTTTATATCACGTTTCGTGTGGTTCAAATTTGAAGTCACTGGCTTACCGGGAAGTTAGTTTAAAATTAATTGTAAATTTGGATAAGCGAACGAACAAACGGATAAGAAATTAATTTAATATTGCATTGTCATCTAGTTCTGAGCTGTATTTAAAGTTTTAGAAGTTAGTTTAGAAATTAATTGATTTGTACAAGTTGTGTAAAATTAATTAAAGAGTCGGTGATAATACAGAGTGAAAAGTATATAGAAGGATTAAAGCCTCAACTTCAAAATAAAAAATTGTTTTATTTGTTCCGGACATTTGCTATCCCATCGGACTGTGTGCACTTGTATTTGAGCACTCTCTGTTGCAATATAATTCGGTCCTTGATTGATGGCTAGTCTCCGTTGTCGCCGTGATCGGAATTCGGTCTGGAGAACATTATAATATTTTTCTAAATGTTTACAGAATATTCCGTAAAAAGAGTAGTAACTACTTAATGTTATCGTCAAGAAAATTAATAACCTAAACGTACCTAACGTCTATGTTCACCTTTACCGAGCTCGCCTAGAAAATTGTCAAAATATCGTTCCCGGCTACCTATTCTCAGTTACACACCAAGCTAAGTATCAGTTTGCATAAAAAAGATGTGTGTATATTCACTTTATTTTACTAGCTCTTACGGCAACATACACTCATGATTTTTCTTTTTTTTTGCACGTCTATGGCTCATTACCTTTGAATGATACCTACATTTCATTCCTCTCCTTTTAAAGAAATAGATAAAACAAAAGAACTATCTATATAGATACTAGCTTCTTAACCTTTTGAGTGGACAAAGGAATATTGCAGTGTCGTCATACATTAAAAACTTCAACCCCTAATTTTCCCCACTTAAGGGTAGAATTTTTACATATTTTTATGGGACCAACCTTGCAGTATAACCAATCTAATAAAAAAATGGTTCACAATTGACGAAAATATTGTGTAAGATACTTACAAAAACATCATCATCGTCATAACCGTTACAGTCTTTCACAAGTCCACTGCTGAACAAAGGCCTTCCCAAGGAATGCCACAAAGCACGGTCCTGAGCCACCTGCATCCATCGACTTCTTGTATGTCTCACCAGGTCTTTACTCCATCTAGAGGAGGGCTGCCACTCGAGAACCTTTCTTCCCTGTCGGTTGTAGGTTCTTCGAGCTATATAGCTGGCCCATTGCCACTTCAGCTTCAGTCGGTTACACTGACTTTATTGCAGATATCCTCATTTTGATTTTTCATACTTGGTAGAGCCATTCCATAGTTATATTATGACTACGGTACGAATGGGACGGCTCCACCGGGGAAGAATTACGTTCTCATAGAGTACCAACGTAAAATAGCAGCTTATTACTGCTGTGCTGGAAATGAAAAATGTGCATTCCATCTTAGTCCTCAGGGATAACGACGCATCAGCATTTGGATTCATAATTGAAGACACATGTAGATGTCTATGGGCCACAGCATCCACTTACCATCAGATTGACTGTGTGCCCGTTTGTGACACTTATTCTATAAAAAAGATCTTAATATTCTAGTTTTGCCCTACTGTACAAACACTACAGCACTTCGATATACCGACAGTCAACTTCACACTACTGTAGGGACTGTAGCACCTCGCAGATTTCGACAGAATTTCTCATTGTCTACATATACAAGACAAAGTGGCAGATTATACCCGTCGGTCCTCGATACAATTTGCCGAAGGGAGTTTGTGGACTATGGTGCTAAAGCCTTTTCGGAAACCCGCTTGTTCGGGAGGCAGGAAGTAGTAGAGTCTGCGTGCGAGACGATTCTTAATGACTCTCGAAAACTCAGAAGGGAAATCGGATGGTAGTGCTTCAACAGAGCGTTGTCGCCTTGTTTGAAGAACAAGACCACCGCAGTTCTGTTCCACGCCTCCGGAGTAGTGTCATCATGAAAGACAGAATTAAAGAGCTTCTGAAGGACTTCAAGTACTGGTTTTCCACCCGCTTTAAGAAGCTGCACTGTAATTCCATCGTCGCCTGTGGCCTTGCTGTTTTAAAGGTGCTGGAAAGCAATTCTAATCTCGCTCACGTCTGGGATTGATATGTACTATCGGAACAGTGTCGGATTAGACTTGGTTTTGGATCGTTACCCACACTTACGTGTGGCTCCAACGACAACGTGTACAGCTACCCTTAGAACCGCTCAATCTCACTCAAAATCTATCTTCAGTTTCGACAGTCGGCTTTTTCTGGCAGATAGATCTCTGGCAAAGACTTTGGAGCCTTGGTTTCGCTCGATCGCTTCTTCAATACGAGCTGTAATAGCCGCATGCATTTAGACACATGTCTAAATATTTTTAAATACGTCTAAATACTTTATTTCCTGTCTAACAGCCATGACATTAAAATTTTGACCGCATAGTTTTTGGGTTCTTTTGCGACGGGTCTTGCAGAACTTAACTCCGACCGCATGGACAGTTTCCACGAGTTTGTCATTCATATCGTGCACTGTATTGTATTCTTCTAGACACTAAAATGATTT